GGGTTATCAAGGCAGACATGGATAGTGGAATGACGCTGGTTCTGCCAAGGCTGTGTCGCACTGCCATTTGCTGTCTCTTATCTGCATGATGGGAGTGGATATCGATGAACAGTGACAAACGGCCATGCAGATGTGACGGCCCAGAGTGACAGCAGGGAGAGTGATTTATGACATACTTAGGTTTTTACCTTGATCCAAAGCTCACCTTTAAAGAACATGTGCGATATTATGCCATCAAAGCATGCAGCACTGTTAACTCACTGTGCATGCTGTGTAACTCAGTTCGGGGTATGTCTCCACAGGATAAACAAAGGCTGTACATTGCAAATGTAGTGCCAGTCATGTGCTATGGTGCTCAACTGTGGTACCATCCAAAATGGAAAAGCAAAAAAGGTGTAGCTGATGAATTGCAGTGCACACAATCACGAGCCACCTGTTGGATCACAGGTGGCTTTAAATCAACACCTATTGGTGCTTTGGACATGATGGCAGGCTTACTGCCAATTAAACTACAGATTGACCACTTTATGCAAAAGTCATTCTTGCGTGTGCATACACTCCACAGAGGACATCCCCTGCAAGCATACTTAGGTGACATATGGATACCTAATGAGGACATCAATGTTAGCCCACAGATATACCTTTGTAATAAGTGAAGGGGATCCAAATGGAATGGAGCAGCAACGAGTGGACCAGTAGAACTGGTGCCTCACTGACCTCTTCACAAATGCACTGATTGCAATACACCTTTAACATGGGTGGACAATACTTTCATGTTTGTAAATGAACACTTCAATGCTGTTCATGATATAGTTGAACCAGGCCGACATTTAATTGATCTGCCACCAGAAATAAATGCAGTTGAGCTTCATTGGATACACATCCGTGATCGCAAGGACATTCCAAAGAAGGACCCTTGTGATAGCAGCTTTGTGGACTGGTTTGAAAATGAATATCATCCAACAGTCAATCATTAGGTCACAGACCCATTATCTTTGTCCTTAGCCACTGATGGCTCTGCACACAAAGACAACCCTTGTGATACACAGCTAATTCCAACAGTACGTGCTTTGTTGGAAGCACAAGAGGAACAGGGAATCCTCTATGAAGCTACTGGAGCTGGGTGGGCAGTCTGGAATTACCACCAGCCATCACCACCAATACGGCAAGGCAAACGCAGATGTGGCAAAGCTACTGTGTTTGATACTGAGCTAAATGCCCTATCATATGGCATTAAAAGGCTGGTAAAGGAATATGAAGTGTGGTCACAATCATATGATGGTTGACAGGCACTTAAACAAGATGATTATCACTTTACACTCAGTGTGTTTGTGGACAGTGTTGCTGCTGGACTCTCAATCTTCAAAGGAGATTGCAAAGGTGGCCAAATTCATTCTATCAGAGCTTCTATTGCTCTGAAAAAATTCCTCAGTGCACATAGTCAACACAAAGTGCGTATTGCATGGGTCCCCTCTCATATTCAGGGAAAGACCCAAATGGACAGCTGGTCTACTTGCTTTAATGAGACAGTGGACAAACTTGCTAGTGAGGCTGCCTGCAATAGGACTAGCCAACCCAAAAATAGATCATCATATGCTGCAGCACAAGCAGCTACTAAGGTAAAAGCTCATAAAAGCTGGCAGATAATGATGAACAGTATCAAATACTGTGGTCATTCCACTTTGCTAAAACAAACAGAACACAAGCTTATCATTCCTGATAGCAAACATTACTTTCTTCAGAAATTTGGGCATGACCACCGCTTATATGCGCGCATGACCAGATTCATGACTGGGCATTTTCCTCATGGAGAATTCCGTAATAAAATGAATCTTGAAGGCAGTCGAATGTGTTTATGCACAAATGCCTATGAGACAAGAGATCATATCTTGTATGAATGCCCATACTGGATAAGAAAAAGCAATATCAAACCACCTAAACGTGCACCTGATCAAACTCGACAAGAGCTGATTTCAGCAGGAAAACAGCTTGAGCTCCAAAACAAGGAGCAGGTAGTCAAAATTGATGACACACATGAATTCCTGTTGCTCAATCCACTTGTTGGAACCTTTGAGTGGCAGGACTTGATGGAACACATGCAAACAGATGTGTTTCCACTGTGGGATGCCAATACCTCAGATTGGAAGTACCACATTGTCAACATTGTGTTTGATATAATTGTGCTACAAAGGCCAATGCTCTACAATGAATACAAATGGGCTACTTGCAAAGACAAGTGCCCAACACCATTCTTACAATGGCTAAATAGCAGAACACAATGGCCTATCAAACACATATGGGCCAAGTACCGAGAACACCATCCTGAAGAACACCAACTGTTCTGGGATGTCACACCAGACTGGCTACAGTCAGTTCTTGTTGCAGCCCATGTCCCTCTCAAAATGGAAGTCACACAATATGGCAATGACAGTAAAGAATCTAAAACACTCATTCATGTGGATGATCTGTCATTTTCTGACTATGCGGGATCTCCCGCCCCCGTTTTCAGACATTATTGTCTGAATCCGACTGGGAGGAGGTAGCCCTGGCTCCGTATGCTGGACAAATAGTTGTAGCATGGCCATGCTCACTGTTAGACAGTGAGCAATGAGATGTTTTGGTCTTTGATTTTGTCTACTATTTATTGGAGCCTCAGACTCCTGTGCCACTATGGACACTGATATTTATTGCGCATGGACACTAGTAGACAGGTGTACATTACCCTCTGTAGGCAGCACTTTAAATTCAGGAGAAAAAAAAAAAGAGCCACAAAACTCGAGCGCTCTCAGGGCTTTCGTAACCGAGGATGGGCGTATCGGGCGTCGGTGTCGTGAAAAAGCTGCCCTCGAGCTGGTCAAGGTTGAGGGCGTGTTCAGTTCTCCCGTGGTGCCGATTGAGCTGAGCGAACCCCAACGCTTTGAGGTTCTCAGCCCCCGCCAAGGCCTCTGTCATGAATATTACATGTTCCGGATAGTTCTCCCAGGTTCTATAGTATTCTTTTACTTTCTATACACCTCTGTATATTCGTAGAATATTCCAGATATTCAGTCTGACATATATATAAGGGGCTCGTACTGCTCAATAACAAGCCAGACTCGAGCTGGTCTTTTCTCACTCACATTTCTCTTGTCTGTCTCCTCAGCGTTGTCGTAGCTCAGTCCAGTTGGATTGTTAGTTGCTGACATTAGCTCGAGTCTCCACCAATTGCCCTACGACGATCCTCGTCACTCTCACTCCAACCATCACACATCTCCACACAACAATCCACTCTATACACACATCCGACTCTCACCCTAACTCCTAACCCTACCGAATTCTATCGCATCAAGACCTGGACCCCTGGAACCCTTCTCCGTGCACTTGCACAAACTTTTACCATACCACATCCCCGAAGTCACCTCTGTAATCACTAGCCCTTAGGCGGCTAGACAGAGCTCTGTCCAATTAGAATTGTACCCTGCCCTACCATAGGCGGTGTTACACACTTTGCAGCAGGCAAGCGGATATTCCTGAGTACGACGTGGCAACCGGTTGCGGCCGGGTGTCGGAAAAGCGATAACAGTTAGATCGACGATTCCTTTCCGAACGTCGGAACGAAGAGAAGCAATTGCTCTTTGGGCTGTTATATTATCTCTAGAACTGTATTAAGATAGCGTTTCGGTGCTTCTTTGGAAAAAACCCTATCTTTGGCGAATTCTACCCCTAATCTGGTTGTTACAACACGATTAGTCCCAGGGTTTGCTGCAATCAGCTTCACAGACCCGATAGCTCATGACAACGCTCTCTTGTGACTGTCGAAAATATCAACATTGAGTACTAGGAGAGAGAACTATCTACAAACGCGGAGATCCTGTACGATACTGCATACAGCAACCTTGTCCACACTCCCCACACAATAGTACTCGTTGTCCACGGTGTGAAGAGGGATTACGCAGAGAACTAGTAGCCAAAGTAAACACCGGAGAACCTAGCGAGTCCCTCTCCAACCCCGAACCCATAGCATCTAGCTCAGAACCCAGAGAAAAACGCGACACACTTGATTCAGTCACCAAACACCTCTGTTCAATCGCTCTCGGAGAATCCGAAGTACCACCAGAAGGTCCACCAGATCCCGTGGAAGAAGCTTTGGAAGATTCGGAAGCCTCGAACCCATCTTCCCGACGTTCTCCCACACCACCTTCATCTCCATCCAATCCCGGCGCGATGGCTGAGAACCAAGACAGTGCCGCGCTCCTCAATGGAAGCGCGATGAAGCCAGACGCCTTCGACGGCACAAAATCCAAGTACATTGCTTGGAAAACCCAAATGAAACTCTATGTAGTTACGCAGAGGAAGCGGCTACCAGAGCAGTTCGACAGGGTCTTAATGATCTTGTCCTACATGAAAGGAGGCCATGCTGGCAAATACGTCGCCACATACATGAAAAAATACGACACCAATGAAGATACGGTGATCCAGACCACGAACAAACTGTGGACGGATTTGGATAAGCATTTCCTAATCGACGAGCAGGCTGAAGCCTACGACCGACTGCAAGCAATGCAGATGGGGACACTATCAGCACAGAAATTCTTCTTGAAGTTCGAGTTGTGCGCCTTCCAGGCGAACATTCACCATTTTGAAGCACACTTCCAGGAACTCAAGTCGCTTCTAGAAAAAGCACTCCAGGCCGACATCATTCGGCTTCTGTATAATTCTTCAGAGGAACTGCTGACCACATACGCGCTCTATAAGCTACGGGTCGCACGCATTGACCTAAATCAGCAGCAGTATCGTTGGCGAAACCCACAGTCCCAGCGACAAGGACAATTTCAACCTTGCCAGCAGCAGGCACAAAGTGCGCCACGAGCACAGGCTAACGTAGCCACACCAACCACAAGCGCCCCGGTTCAAACACGTCGCGATGGGACAGGAGTCACATTCGGTGGCAGAGGCCAGCCAATGGAGCTAGACCAAGCACGACACTTGGGCCTCTGCTTTCGATGCGGAGAAAAGAGACATCTTTCGCGCAATTGCCCTAATCGGCAACAAGCTCAACAAGTACAGGCCATGGAAACCCTGGTAGTTCCCACTACCAATGCATTTACACCACTCGCATCACTTAATGAAGCTCCTGCCGCGACGGCAGAACCATTTGACTGGAAAATGGCAATTCGTGAAGAAATTCGCGCGGCCATGAAGGGTTTTGCAAGCGGTCAGCCGGGTGCGTAGCCGAGTTGACCGAAGAGAATTTCATAAACTATCTGTGTTCCTGGTTTGGAGTTCCCATGTACATACAAAAGAAAGGGGCATCCGCAGAGTGGCGCGGAGAGGTTCAACCCTCTTGCTTAATTCCTCCGAATAAAAAATTACCTTCTACCCTGAATCAGACCGAACCTACGCAGTGGCAGCGCCACACCCCATGAACAGAGGCATGGATTCACCAATGGATAATCAGCAAAGACAAAGCAGCACTTAGATTGTTGACAGAATGGGTACACTCAAAAAAGAGTGTTGACGCCTCCGAAGCCTGTATGAACCAAATCAGGCAAATGAAAGAAGAAGAAGCAATTGACTTCTTGAATGAATTATGAAAGCAGCCTCAATTTATCCGAGGAAGGAAGGGGACACAGATGGATGTCCCAATGATCATCACTACCCTGGACACGCAACAGCGTTTGTCAGTCAAAGCGTTATTAGACATAGGATGTACTGGATCTTCTATTGATGCGCAGTTTGTCCGTGATAACAACATTGCTACAAAGAAACTGCCATCACCGATCCCTGTCTATAACGCAGACGGAACACATAATGCCGGAGGTGCTATCACCGACTTTGTCAAATTAAG